TACTTAGTTTTCTGCCAGCAATATTTAATCTTTTTCCAGCAGTATATAGTCTTTTGACAGCAGTATTTCGTCTTCCGGTAAGACTGTATTGTTTTCGATAAGAAGAATCTGCACCATTAGTAATATTTATTAGTCTTCTGACAACAGAATTTGGTCTTCTGACATCAAAATTATAATGTTATATAAAAACTACATGATAATATTATTGAAATTTCAATGAAAAAATTATTAAAGAAGAAATTGTCAAATTAATAAATCCAAAATATTACGACATTTTCAAAAAATGATATCTGCCCTGTTTTATATGATAATGCCATGATATGTATGTTAAATTGAAGCTTAAAGATTTTAAATTATGATGTGATAAATAAATTATATGATAAGGTTATTGAAATTTCCAGGAAAATATTGTTAAAGAAGAAATTGTCAAATTTTTTAATCAAAATACGGAATTTTCAAAAAATCATATCGTCCGTGTTTTTAATGATAATGATATGATATGTATGTTAAATTAAAGTTTAAAGATCCTATTTTGTGATGTGATATGAAAACTATAAAATCATATTATTGAAATTTCCAGAAAAAAGTAATTAAAGAAGATTAAATTGTATAATTGTTGTGTTTTTAATGATATGATATGTATGTTAAATTGGAGCTTAAAGATTCTAGATTATGATGTGATATAAAAATTATATGATAATATTATTGAAATTTCCAAGAAAAAATTATTAAAGAAGAAATTGTCCAATTAATAAATTCAAAATAATACAAAATTTAAAAAAAATCATATCTGCCGTGTTTTTAATGATAATAATATGATATGTATGTTAAATTGAAGCTTCAAGATCCTATTTTATGATGTGATCTGAAAAGTATAAGATCGTATTATTGAAATTTCCAGGAAAAAATAATTAAAGCAGAGATTGTATAATTTATATATAAAAAATAAATAAAAATTTCAAAATCATATCTGCCGTGTTTTTAATGATAACTATATGATATGTATGTTAAATTGAAGCTTAAAGATTCTAGTTTATGATATGAAATAAAAATTATATGATAAGGTTATTGAAATTTCCAGGAAAAAATTGTAAAAGAAGAAATTGTCAAACTTATTAATCAAAATAGGGAATATTCAAAAAAATCATATCGTCCGTGTGTTTAATGATAGATATGATATGTATGTTAAATTGAAGCTTAAAGATTCTAGATTATGATGTAGTATAAAAAGTGTAAGATGATATTATTGAAATTTCCAAAAAAATGGTATGATTTAGAAAAATCAAAAATTATTATAATTTCAAACAATCATATCTACCGTATTTTTAATGATAATAATATGATATGTATGTTAAATTGAAGCTTAAAGATTCTAATTTATAGTGTGATATAAAAACTTTATCATAATATTCCACGAAACAATTATTAAAGAGGAAATTTTCAAATTATAAATAGAAATAATACAAAATTTTCAAAAAATCATATTTGCCGTGTTTTTAATGATAATGATATGATATGTATGTTAAAGTGAAGCTTCAAGATCCTATTTTATGATGTGATATGAAAACTATAAGATCATATTATTGAAATTTCCAGAAAAAAGAATTAAAGAAGATTAAATTGTATAATTGTTGTGTTTTTAATGATAATGATATGATATGTATGTTAAATTGAAGCTTAAAGATTCTCGATTATGATGTGATATAAAAATTATATGATAATATTATTGAAATTTCTAAGAAAAAATTATTAGAGAAGAAATTGTCAAATTAATAAATTTAAAATAATACGAAATTTACAAAAAATCATATTTGCCATGTTTTTAATGATAATGATATGATATGTATGTTAAATTGAAGCTTAAAGATTCTAATTTATAGTGTGATATAAAAACTTTATCATAATATTTTTGAAATTTCCACGAAAAAATTATTAAAGGGGAAATTTCCAAATTGTAAATAAAAATAATACCAAATTTTCAAAAAATCATATATGCCGTGTTTTTAATGATAATGATATGATATGTATGTCAAATTGAAGCTTCAAGATCCTATTTTATGATGTGATATGAAAACTATAAGATCATATTATTGAAACTTTCAGAAAAAAATAATTAAAGAAGAAATTGTTTAATTTATAAATGAAAAATAAATAAAAATTTCAAAAATCAAATCGGCGGTGTTTTTAATAATAATGATATGATATGTATGTTAAATTGAGGCTTAAAGATTCTAGATTATGATGTGATATAATTAATGATATAATTAGTGATATAATTATATGATAGCGTTATTGAAATTTCAAGGAAAAAAATGTTAATGAAGAAATTGTCAAATTTATTAATCGAAATACGGAATTTTCAAAAAATCATATAGTCCGTGTTTTTAATGATAATGATATGATATGTATGTTAAATTGAAGTTTAAAGATTCTAGATTATGATGTGATATCAAAATTATATGATAATATTATTGAAATTTCCAGGAAAAAATTGTTAATGAAGAAATTGTCAAATTTTTTAATCAATATACAGAATTTTCAAAAAATCATATTGTCCGTGTTTTTAATGATAATGATATATGTATGTTAAATTGAAGCTTAAAGGTCCTATTTGATGATGTGATGTAAAAATTAAGATAATATTATTGAAATTTTCAAAAAAATTGTATAATTTAGAAAAATTAAAAATTAGAAAATTTCAAAAAATCATATCGGCCGTTTTTTTAATGATGATATGCAAAGCATAAAACAAAAAACAAATAATATATATTATTTACCTCCAAAGAATTTCTCATCCTGTTTATAATCGCATCTTTTTTAACACAATGAAGATTATAACCAATCACAGATTCCTCCATTGATTTATCCATTTGCTCCTCAAGCCATTCAACGACGGTTTGGTTGTTATCCCATAAATACCCCTTAATTAAATTAAACAAAAATCATTAATTAATTAAGAACAATTTAAAATTTCAAATTAATTTACCTCCGCGGTTCCTTTCGTCTCAACAAACCACCGTCTCAACATCGCTTCAGTTTGTCCCACTCCCAAATTAGGTTGCGCTTCCAACAAACTCGAAATAACTTGATCTTGCAATATTAACCTTTTTAATCTCCAATATAAAACCCTCCGCGAATTCTTCCAAGTTAAAATATCTAAGATTGTTCCTTTTTCGTGCATTCTTTCGGGGGTGTCGTGTAAATCGGCGAAATGAACCGCGACTTGGTGATACATCGGCATTAATAACGCCTCGCGATTCGCGATTTTTGTTTCTAACTCAATCACTTCGGGGGTTTTAGCGACTTCTTGAGTTTGCGCCGCTGATAAGCTATTTTTTCTTTCGAAGGATGATGTAATGTGGTTATGATTCGATTGGATTTTGATGGTTTCTAGCCAATCTTTGATTAGCGGGTCGATTCGGTGGATCGCTTTGATTAAATCTTTTTTGCGGTATTTGATTTCGACGATTCCTTCTGGTTCTAAAACCCCACCTCGTGCGTCAGCGTCGGCGTACATCTCCNAATTTCAAAAATCTTATCGGCGGGGTTTTTAATGATAATGATATGTATGTTAAATTGAAGCTTAAAGATTCTAGATTATGATGTGATATAAAAATTATATGATAAGGTTATTGAAATTTCCAGGAAAAAATTGTTAAAGAAGAAATTGTCAAACTTATTAATCAAATACGGAATTTTCAAAAAACCATATCGTCCGTGTTTTTAATGATAATGATATGATATGTATGTTAAATTGAAGTTTAAAGATCCTATTTGATGATGTGATATAAAAAGTGTAAGATGATATTACTGAAATTTCCAAAAAAATGGTATAATTTAGAAAAATCAAAAACTATTAAAATTTCAAAAAATCAGATCTACCGTATTTTTAATGATAATGATATGATATGTATGTCAAATTGAAGCTTAAAGATTCTAATTTATAGTGTCATATAAAAACTATATCATAATATTCCACGAAACAATTATTAAAGAGGAAATTTTCAAATTATAAATAAAAATAATACAAAATTTTCAAAACATCATATTTGCCGTGTTTTTAATGATAATGATATGATATGTACGTTAAATTGAAGTTTCATATTTTATGATGTGATATGAAAACTATAAGATCATATTATTGAAATTTCCAGAAAAAAGTAATTAAAGAAGATTAAATTGTATAATTGTTGTGTTTTTAATGATAATGATATGATATGTATGTTAAATTGAAGCTTAAAGCTTCTAGATTATGATGTGATATAAAAATTATATGATAATATTATTGCAATTTCTAAGAAAAAATTATTAAAGAAGAAATTGTCAAATTAATAAATTTAAAATAATACGAATTTTTCAAAAAATCATATTTTCCGTGTTTTTAATGATAATGATATGATATGTATGTTAAAGTGAAGCTTCAAGACCCTATTTTATGATGTGATATGAAAACTATAAGATCATATTATCGAAATTTCCAAAAAAAAGTAATTAAAGATGATTAAATTGTATAATTGTTGTGTTTTTAATGATAATGATATGATATGTATGTTAAATTGAAGCTTAAAGATTCTAGATTATGATGTGATATAAAAATTATATGATAATATTATTGCAATTTCTAAGAAAAAATTATTAAAGAAGAAATTGTCAAATTAATAAATTTAAAATAATACGAATTTTTCAAAAAATCATATTTTCCGTGTTTTTAATGATAATGATATGATATGTATGTTAAAGTGAAGCTTCAAGACCCTATTTTATGATGTGATATGAAAACTATAAGATCATATTATCGAAATTTCCAAAAAAAAGTAATTAAAGATGATTAAATTGTATAATTGTTGTGTTTTTAATGATAATGATATGATATGTATGTTAAATTGAAGCTTAAAGATTCTAGATTATGATGTGATATAAAAATTATATGATAATATTATTGAAATCTCTAAGAAAAAATTATTAAAGAAGAAATTGTCAAATTAATAAATTTAAAATAATACAAAATTTTCAAAAAATCATATTTGCCGTGTTTTTAATGATAATGATATGATATGTATGTTAAATTGAACCTTAAAGATTCTAATTTATAGTGTGATATAAAAACTATATCATAATATTCCACGAAACAATTATTAAAGAGGAAATTTCCAAATTATAAATAAAAATAACACCAAATTTTCAAAAAATCATATTTGCCGTGTTCTTAATGATAATGATATGATATGTATGTTAAATTGAAGCTTCAAGATTCTATTTTATGATGTGAAAAAGTAATTAAAGAAGATTAAATTGTATAATTTATAAATCAAAAATAATAAAAAAATTCAAAAATCATATGGGCGGTGTTTTTAATAATAATGATATGTATGTTAAATTGAAGCTTAAAGATTCCAGATTATGATATGATATAAAAATTATATGATAATGTTATTGAAATTTCCAGGAAAAAATTGTTAAAGAATAAATTGTCAAATTTTTTAATCAATATACAGAATTTTCAAAAGATCATATCGTCCGTGTTTTTTATGATAATGATATGATATGTAGGTTAAATTGAAGCTTAAAGATGCTATTTTATGATGTAATGTAGAAACTACTATAAGATGATATTGTTGAAATTTCCAGGAAAAAATTATTAAAGAGAAAATTGTTAAATTATAAATCAAAAATAATAAAAATTTTCAAAAAATCATATCTGCCGTGTTTTTGATGATAATGATATGATATGTAGGTTAAATTGAAGCTTAAAGATTCTAGTTTATGATGTGATATAAATATTACAAGATAATATTATTGAAATTTTTAGGAAAAATTATTAAAAAAGAAGAAGCATCTGCGTCATTAGTAATATCTAGTGTTTTGACAACAGAATTTGGTCTTCTGATAGTAAAATTAAGTCTTCTGCCAACAGTATTTCGTCTTCTATTAGATGTGTGTAATCTACTGCAAGAAGGATCTACTTCATTTGCAACATCCAGTCTTTGAGCAGTATCTAAGTCTTCTGTCAAGAGTATTTCATCTTCTGGTAACTGTTTCTTGTCTTCTATAAGAAGGATCTGCACCATTAGTAATGCCTAGTCTTCTAAGAGCCGAATTAAGACTTCTACAACCAGTATTTACTCTTTTGCCAACGGTATTTTGTCTTCTCGTAATAATGTGTCTTCTATAAGGAGGATCTTCCCTATTAGCAATATCTAATCCCGTGCCAACAGTATTTGGTCTTCTGGTAGTAACTAGTGTTCTGTAAAAAGGATCTACTTCATTAGCAACATCTAGTCTTCTATTGACAATCTGTAGTCTTCTATGATCAATGTCTCATCTTTTTCCAGCAGTATATAGTCTTCTTTCTGACAGCAGTATTTCGTCTTCCGGTGAGACTGTATTATCTTCTATGAGAAGGATCTGCACCATTAGTAACATTTAGTCTTCTGACAACAGAATTATAGTGTGATATAAAAGCTATATAATAATATTATTGAAATTTACACGAAAAAAATATTAAAGAGGTAGTTTTCAAATTATAAATAAAAATAATACGAAATTTTCAAAAAATTATATCTGCCGTGTTTTTAGTGATAGTAATATGGTATGTATGTTAAATTGAAGCTTAAAGATTCTAGTTTATAGTGTGATATAAAAACTATATCATAACATAATTGAAATTTCCAGGAAAAAGTTATTAAATAAGGAATTGTCAATTTTATAAATTAAAAATAATTCGAATTTTTCATAAAAAATCACATCGGCCGTGTTTTTAAGATTTATGATATGTATGTTAAATTGAAGCTTAAAGATTCTAGTTTATGATGTGATATAAATACTACCAGATAATATTATTGAAATTTTCAGGTAAAAATTATTAAAAAAGAAATTGTAAATTTTATGAATTAAAAATAATGCTAAATATTTCCTCTATGAGAAACATCTGCATCATTAGTAATATCTAGTCTTCTGACAACAGAATTTGGTCTTCTGATAGCAAAATTAAGTNTCCGTTTGATTTAGCTGCGATAAAATCCTGATTACTTCCGCTTTCTGCATATCATTTAATTTTTGGATGATATCTACGACGGCGTCCAGCGCAACATCGGGGCAATCCTTTAACAACAAATTTATCGTTAATAAAAAAATTAATTAATTAAAATTTATGTGTATATAATATTATAGTGTCCGCCAATTCTATTTTTAAGAATTATAATATGATATGTATGTTAAATTATAGCTTAAAGATTCTAGTTTATGATGTGATATAAGTACCACAAGATAATATTATTGAAATTTACAGGATAAAATCATTAAAAAAGAAATTGCAAATTTGCAAAATCAAAAATAATACTAAATATTTCCTCTATGAGAAGCATCTCATAGAGCATCATTAGTAATATCTTATCTTCTGATAACAGAATTTGGTCTGCTGATAGCAAAATTAAGTCTTCTGCCAAGAGTATTTTGTCTTCTATTAGATGTGTGTAGCCTACTGCAAGAAGGATCTGCTCCATTTGCAACATCCTGTCTTTCATTAGCAAGTCTTCTACCAGCAATATCTAGTGTCTTTCGAGCACTATATAAGTCTTCTATCAAGAGTATTTCATCTTCTGGTAATTATTTGTTTTTTTCTATAAGAAGAATCTGCACCATTAGGTATGCTTAGTCTACTAAGAGCCGAATTAAGACTTCTGCCAGCAGTATTTAATCTTCTGCCAACGGTAATTCGTCTTCTGGTAATGATGTGTAGTCTTCTATAAGAAGGATCTTCCCTATTAGCAATATCTAGTCTTTTTCTAGCAATATCTAGTCCTCTGCCAATAGTATTTCGTCTTCTGGTAGTAATGTGGTAAAGTCTTCTGTAAGAAGGATCTACTTCATTAGCAACATCTAGTCTTCTATTAGCAATACTTAGTTTTCTGCCAGCAATATTTAATCTTTTTCCAGCAGTATATAGTCTTTCGACAGCAGTATTTCGTCTTTCGGTAAGACTGTATTGTTTTCTATGAGAAGAATCTGCACCATCAGTAATATTTAGTCTTCTGACAACAGAATTTGGTCTTCTGACATCAAAATTATAATGTGATATAAAAACTACATGATAATATTATGGAAATTTTCATGAAAAAATTATTAAAGAAGAAATTGTCAAATTAAAATATCCAAAATATTACAAAATTTTCAAAAAATCATATCTGCCGTGTTTTAAATGATAATGATATGATATGTATGTTAAATTGAAGCTTAAAGATTCTAGATTATGATGTGATATAAAAATTATATGATAGCGTTATTGAAATTTGCAGGAAAAAATTGTTAAACAAGAAATTGTCAAATTTATTAATCAAAATAAGAATTTTCAAAAAATCATATCGTCCGTGTTTTTAATGATAATGATATGATATGTATGTTAAATTGAAGCTTAAAGATTCTAGTTTATGATGTGATATAAATACTACCAGATAATATTATTGAAATTTTCAGGTAAAAATTATTAAAAAAGAAATTGTAAATTTTATGAATTAAAAA